TTCGCAATTAATCCGCCCTATCCTCGCGGCGATCTATCTCCATTTGCCAGCGACTGGGAAGAGTGCGCGTATAAGCGCCTCGTTTCTTTGGGAAGGGGGCACGCGGTCAGATAGAGTTCCCGGGCCATGCAGGCAGGCATCGGGGGGGGGGGGGGGGGCGCAATATGCGCCGGCTTTCATATCGCCTTCGAAGACAAGCGACCTCGGCGGCGACGACTACGCGGAAAGAAGACACCCTCCCCCTCCGTGTGTACCCGCAGGATCACTTATTCCTGCCGGCCCGCGGCGGGGGTCAAGAGGTGGCTGGCGATCTCATTTCACGCTCCGCCGGCTCCCTGGAAAGAACTGATCGGCACCGCGCTGGCGGTGGCCGTGCACCCACGAGTCGCCATTGTTGTGGTGGCCACTTCTCTCTCTCTCTCTCTCACTGCGGCCGCCTTGAAACAACAGGGTCGCGCCGATCGGGCGCGGAGAAGTCGCGGCCGCGGAGGAAAGCCGATCCTGGTAAGAGAGAGAGGTGGACTGCGAGCACGTGCGTGCCATTGCTTCGCGCATACGTCGGCCTTTCCTCTTTGAACGGCCGATTGACCTCGTCAGGCTCGGTACGCTAGTGAAACCTCGCGAAAGGGAGAACTTCCGGACACAGAACTCTGCACGGCACAAAGCTATTAAAAAAAAAAAAACTTTTTCCAACCACCTTGCTGGCTTCCGCAAAATTGAATGCCATTAATGAAACACTGGCGCCAATTGTTGTTTTCACTGGCGGCACTGTTCTGGCAGAGAGTGAGTTGCTCTTCAATCGTGTAGTGCGACGCGGGTTATCCATCACATCGTGACTTGCCCACATCGAAAAAAAGAACAAGGCGTCTCTAAAGCTGTTTACGCGTTCGTCTTTCAAGCGCCGTTTCATCTGATGATGAGCTTGCAATTTTCGGCGAGAAAAACGCAGAACAGCCTTTGCATTTAAAGGGACCGACATCCGATTTCTTTTAAACCCAGTTCTTTCCGACGTGACAGCTTGCACTTTGTAGTGTTCGTAGCTGCCGTAGTTAATCCCAAAAGCACGTAATCATTTTATAAGTAGTATTTTTTACCTGAAAGGCTCAACATGCACGAGTCATCTCATCCAGTGACACTGGAAATTGATAGTGATGCTGGTAGCCTTTCTGCAGCATGCTGTCGTTCTTCTTCTTTCGCAGGAATTCCTGTTACTATGCTTAAAGGAGTACTGACACAAAAAAATTGGCCTCGCGTTTTTCTGCTGCAATGCATTGCTGTAGGGCTGTTAGTCATGACACGACACATTTTTTGCTGCAGCACGCGATAGATAATTAATTACAGGCCCCTCGTTATCGACCAGTTTTGGTTTTAGAGAGTTCCAAAAACTGGGTGTGACTGTCGCCACCTAGCGTGTGCAACTTGTGACTACGTCAGCACACAGAACTGTGACGCACTTCCTCACGATCCGCATCAAGAATTATTTTCGAATAGGAAACGAGACTGGAATGTCACCAAACACAAAACTTTCTAAACGTGCGCCACGGCCACGCACTCGTAACCAGCCGCCCAGAAATATAGACTTCGGGAACTAACGCGACGCGACAAAAGAAAAAATGGCGGCTATGACGTCATGATAACTTGTTTTGTTGACCGCAGCTTGATGATGTGAGGGAAGTAGGGGGTCACCTCGGGGCACCTCCGAGGGTGTCTGTAGCGCTATGGAGTCGGTCGCTCACGCAAACTTCAGAATTAATTTTAAGTACCTTCCAAGCTACATTCGCTGTTATCTTGCAGATGATATACGAATGTTCCCGAGAATTGATCCGGCAGGCTATATCGGCCCCGAAATTTTGTGTCAGTACCCATTTAACCACGTTTATTCTCAGCTTTACAAATATTTTTTTTGAAAATGAGAAGCCGTTCCAATGAGACGGTGTGCCTTTATAGTGCAGCTTCTCTGTATTTGTACCGCGTTGAGTGCGCATGCACCCAGGGTTGTTGCGCCTGTGTCGTGGATGGCTTGTCCCGTCGTCGTTACTCTCTCGACTTACGAACCAAGCCAACACCACCTAAATGTGCGCATGTGCACGGCCCTGTCGGCTAGCAGCACACGTCGTTTTCGAGACAAATTACATAAAAAAAAACAGGTTTGCTCCAAAATCTTAGCGACCTGAAAACAGCGTGCCCGGTTTCATCATACCGTAGAAAAGTTGTTCAAGACGCGGTGACGAGCATGGGATGATTACGTCGTGCGAAGGCAGCACCACTTTAATGCTTACTACTAACGCAGGCCTATACGTACATTTTTATGGAGTATTATCTCTTATTATAAAAAAGAAAACAATATTTCAATACTAACCGGAAAATTGTTGACCGCTTACACTAGTTTACGATGGCATTGCAGGACACATCGTATAATTGAAGTTTCTGCCACCAAGTGGCGCCACAGGCTATCTTCGCAATTTTTTAATGAATACATAAAAATATAACCCCTTTTTTCGCAAGCAAAACAGGGTTGATTTGAGTCATTATGCGAGACAATCTATCCATCCGCGCAGTCATCTCATTTCATGTTCTGGGCAGTTGTCAGTCCTTTAAAGGGACACTGAAGGCAACTATTACGTCGACGTTGATTCTTGAAATAGCGGTCTAGAAGCCTCGTAGTGTTACTTTTGTGCCAAAGAAGTGCTTATTTTGAAATTAAACAACGTTTCAATGGTCCGCATCGGGTTAGAGCATGTGCACTTCAATTTACCTGCCTCAAGCGGAACGTGTCACGTCACTGTTGTTGTGCACAGCGTTGCCCGGCTTCACTGCGCGGCCGCCGACACTAGTAGCAGCATAACGAAAGTAGCGGGTGTCACAGCAGCAACACGGACATTGAACAATTTCCTGCCATGGCCTGCGAGATGACAGACGTAATTGATTCACCTGGGCCCCGCTAGATGGCATGACCTGTCCAATTTGACCAGACGAAAATTGAACTTTTGAACCACTATGGCGCCATTCCGCATAGTTATCACCGGTTGTTCTTTTTTTCATAAATAACACAGAATGGAACAGGCAGCATTTTATCACGTCTCTTGATGCGCGGAAGGTTCTTTATTTAGAGGAGCTAGTTTGATTACTTGTGATTAATTGTAGGTGGTACCTCTGACGTAATCGGTATCATTTTGCGAATGTCTGTCGTAGCGCATGATTTATCGTGCATTTACCTTAATTTCTTAGTAAGTAGGGCACTGATGTTTATCATATTAGAGAGCTTTAGTTTAGCGCGCGCAACGGCCTTGCGTACGCAACGCACAAGAGGAGCAAGAGTGCGCATGCGCTGAACCTAAGAGAGATGCGTGCGTTTGCGCACGCTAGATCTTGGCGCTTACGTTGGGCCCGCTACGACCGTTGCGTGCCTTACCGGACGCTGTCGCGAGATCAGTGCGAACAGCTTCACTTATTTGGCTCGTCTTCGCATGTCGTTGTCGTGACTTTGCAATAGTTTCACTAAACGATATCACGTGTGTTGAGCCGTCGCTGTTTCGTATCCTCTGTTGTCGCCACAACGCCATCGTGTTCGCAATCGCTGAAGGAGCGCTAAAGTCGAATGAAGAAGTACCAGTCGAAAGGTGCGGTTTCAGCGGTTGACTCGGTGGCGTAATGGTGGTGCTCCCAGGGTGGACGCTTTATTCCCGGAGCACGCAGTGCCGGTTCTATTGGCGTATGTCTACCATGTAAAATGGTTGACATGCATGGGCGAGAGAGGGTGAACAAACTATGCCTCAAATGAGCAGACGAAAGTTTTGTTTTCCCCAGGTGGGTGGCTTCCTTCCGCATGCAGTCTGGTATGCCATGGTCCCTTGCTGCCAATTTATATTGGTCTACCAGTTTCTACTGGTGATTATTACTGGGATCGACGGCGTCGTTATTATTACTATTATTATTATTATTATTATTATTATTATTATTATTATCGTTATTTTGAGGATATCTGCTGTTCGCAAACATTATTCTGCGATACGTGTACGTATACAGCCTTTGTAAACTTATGCTTAAAGCCATTTCATTTCAAACGACGCACCAATGCGTGCGTCGTTTCTTCTGACAAAAGCTGTTGTACTCGTTTACCGGGCTACAGTCAGGACTGATGAAAGGGTTTCGTGAGGCTAGTCTCGAATGAAACGAAACGTTTCTCTGTTGTAATCATATGTAGTCATACGTCAGCACAAAAAAAGAAGAAAGTGCAACTGACTGAGGCTCACTCGACAAGTATATTTTGCGCATATATAGTGCTCACTCGTACTCATCCTCAACCGGACTCTCTAAAAACTCGCCAAACTATTACTCGCCCGGACTCACTAACTCAGACTCACGGCCTGATATGAGTGTGAGTGAGTCTGTCTACCTATATGGTTGTGATCGCCGTTGTGTTGTACTTCAGAGGGCCAAGAATAGTCACGCCATGCCCTGAGAACGCAAAACCTACGAGTTCGATTCCGAGCTGTGGACGCTGCACTGTAAAAGTGCTCGTGTTCTGTAATTGGATACCCGTCAGATAACCGTACATTGCTGCTTTTGTAGACGTTTTTATGTGTGCGGAAGTCGAGGTTTCTAACGGAAGGCTGTACCGTGTGTATGCGTGCGTGGCACAGTGGTTGGGGGCTCTGCTGCCGACACGAAAGTCGCGGGTGCGATTCCGCTAGTGGTGGTCGTATTTCGATGAAACAAATGGTAGAAGCCCGTGTACCTAGATTTGATGTGCAACCCCGGGGGGCTGAAAATTCGGAAGCCCTCCGCTATACTGCGTGCATGCCTGGTTTCGGCGCCTAAAACTTCAGAGCAGAAATTGTTATGATACCTATACACGCGTGTGCATGCATGCGTCGGTGTCGGGGCAATACGTGGATCAGGCTGTTGTAATGTTATTGCGTTGGTCGTGCTGTGTGTGTGTGTGTGTGTGTGGCCCCCTGGCTTTAGTGACGTCGTGTTGCTGCCATTGGCTTTTTCAGGCGACCCCCTTCGGCTGACGCGGAGTTCCGACAGAGCCCGCTGCGAACTCCCGAGGGCGCCCGACTGGCGGCATCGGTGGTGCGTACACCCGACCTAACCAAGATAGCCGAAGCCGCGTCCTTCTCCCACCGGGGCAACTCGGCCAAGCGTGTATTTGGCTCCATCGAGAAGGGCCTGGACAGGATGCGTCTGATGCTCACCCCTCGCCGTAGGCTGGGCTCCGCCGCCGCATCCCATGACGCACCCAGGAAGGTCAAGGTGAGCCCCACTCTCTGAGATAGGCAACCTTGAGGCTTCTCGCCGTTATTAGGGACATCTCGTGAAAGGATGAGAGGAAGAATGCCCAACAAGGAATGTTGTAACAATACTGATTGTTGGCCTAGTTGGTACTTGCCCAGTTGGCCTAGTTGGCCACTTGTGCTTGTCGTTGAGTGTTTCTTTACTTTGTGTGTGTGTGCGTTATTTTGCGGCCAAAGCACGTCAGTAAGGAATGTTACTTACTCGTGCGAGGCGCAGTTATGCAAGTCTAGTGCGGCTGAGACATGTTTATTAGTGATGTCATTAACGTAGAAGTTAAAAAGTAGCGCACCTAATACGCTGCCATGTGGTACGCCGTTTAGTATGGAAAGAAAACATTGGTGCGGCTACGTTGTAATACTCGGTATAAAGCTGACCGATTCGAGAAATTTTTCGAGGAAAGTACAGAGGCTGTGTATTTTTGTTAGACGGGCCACTTTTACTCTATTCGTTAAGCTAACGAAAACGACTATTTCTCTCTGCTCTACTTGTGTACGCCTTTCGTTAAAGCTCTTAAGTGTTTTGCCGAATCGCGTGATTCGAGGAGTTATCCGCAATACCTCCCATAAATAGAGGTGCGTACATCGGGGCCATGTGCACCGCTATAGGCTGGACAAATTTAGCGCGGGAAGTCCTTTTGTTCTACATGATTTGTCTATTGTGGGACGTCATGCAGCCCCATCGCTAAACATTACTCGAATATCTCAAGAACTGCGAGACCAGTTCCTTTTGGCGGTAAACTTGCGGATGGGATCGCGAATTTTCTGGCCGACTTAGTCATCTCGAGTTGTGTTAACATACCCCGTTCTCGATTTTAAATCCGCTGGCCCTATTCATTCCGCCACGCGAACTCATAGAAGAGTCGACGTGACTTGCGGATTTGAACGGTGTTTCGTCCCACTGCTCAGTAAGAGTGTGCCTACATACTGACCACATGACCTCACGCAAAGTGACGAGATTTGCGTGGTTCGAATACAGCAGTGTGAGCCGCGCTGCCGGCGATTTTGTCGGTCTTGTAGGTACGAAGTGAATTTCTTCGTCTTGCTGGCGGATGCACGTCGGCCATTCTGCGCATTCCTTCGGAGCGACACGCGAACGGCGTTGAATGGTCGATCGGGTGCGTTCCTTGACGTAGCTGCTTACGATGGCGCACGGAGTTCAATTAGTCCTTCAGGGACGTTACGAACTGTAAAAGGGAAGGAAAAACACTTCATATATTAATAAATGAGCCAGAAGTGCTGCCCAGCGACGGAGCAACCTCTCGCCTGTCCACAAGCGCTGTTCCTCGTCCACCGCCACCACACCAAGAGCCATTGTTCGCGCTCGAGATCTCTTCACCCATGTGCCTGCTCCCGCTTCGACGTCCCAAATCCGATTATCGTTTCAAAGACGTCGACGACTTTTTTTTTTTTTCGCCGTGTTGCCCCATAGCAGCGCTTTCGTCCTTCTTTAGTCGAGTGGAGGGAAATGTGGGTGGGTTCGACAAAACAGGCGAACAAAAAACAGCGCGCGCCGTGGTATCCCTTCTCCGGGGTAAATAAAGAGCTCGTCTCGCGGCGAGGCAGCTAGTTAAGCGCTAACCCGATTACGCTGTGCGCCGATTGGGCGCCCGGCACGGGTCTCATTGCGCATGTGCCGGTGTAATTGTTCCCTAATTGCGTCAGGGAGCGCCCGCCTTTTTGTAAAAGAGCGCGACTGCGAGCCGCCGGGATTCTCTCATCGTCGGGGCCGCCTCCTTGCGCCGTGTAATGAAAACTAAGTGACGCCTTCGTGCGGTGCGTGTGTGACAATGGACGCTGCTCACCAGCCATCCATCCCTTCCCGTCCTCGTCCGAAGGTTCTTTGTGCTCTGCACGAGCTTTCCCTGCGCTCTCCTCCGTGTCCGGAGCGGCAAGACGCGTGCAGCCGCGGCGGCGAAACGCGGCATTTCTCACAGAGCAGGCTTTTTCGTCAAGCTTTGTCGCGCTGCGGCGAAGCACGCTTGCCAGGCAGTGGCGTCGCGAGACGTTTCGGCGCACGTGCGCTTGGGGACTCCGCTCGTAAGAAAGACGTGATCACTCGAGATTAAACATGACATGATACGCGCCGAACGGCTGATAATTATATGGTTTCATGCGCGTTTAATAAAGCGAGTGCTTAAGAAGAATCGAGAAGAGGGTTGCATCGCACGCCTCACAGGTACACAATTTCGCCGCGAGAATCGCATGGTGTTGTGCCACAGACATGTTCCTCGTTCGGGAGCACGTCTCTCGAGATCGAGCCCTGTTCCGACGAACTGTCTCCCCCCCTCCCAGCGCCACCTTCCGTGCAGAAGAACCGTGCAGTTCCGGGGATAACGTCGCTTCCTCCGCCGAACCACTTTGCAGTTTCGGGTATGGCTGCGTCTCCTCAGCCGAGCCACTGTGCCGTTCCGGGGAAGTGGTCTCGCAGAAGAGTCCCAAAACGCTATTTAAGGCCGTGCCGGCCCCATGTTAGAGGGATTTTGCCCCAGCCGACGTTGTCGTGCTGGCCGGCTCTGTACAAACGACAACCTGCTGCAGTAAACGCTACTTTTGTTGCTGTTTTCAAAACGGATTGCCTCCCTGTTTCGCCTTCGGGCTAAGGCTTCAGCGAAGTCCGCTCGACTGCTCGCCGCTCTTCGCCACCGCTACCATCGCGACAGAGAAAATTCCTAACAATGAGCAGGGACATCACATCTACACATAGTTTGCGCGTTCTCCAGTTTGCTACTTAAGGACGGAACAGTTATAACTACGAATACGGCCCGGTGCCAGGGCGAGTTATGGTGCAGCAAAACTAAAAAATGAGTCGGTTTTATTTATGCAGGGAAAAAAAACCTGCATATCCACGAAGTGAATGATGAATAAAACCTGCATATCCACGAAGTGAATGATGAATAAAACCTGCATATCAACGAAGTGAATGATGATGAGTGGGCGAAGTAGGGGAAATATTACAAACGTTCATATGGGAAATTACAAATATTACAAATATTACATAGGGGAAATATTACAAACGTTTCTGTACGTTTCCTCTACGTTTCCTCTACGCGGTTCAAAGCGGGTAAGTGATCGGGTTTTGGTGGGTAGCAGCAGTAGTCGCACGTAACGATTTCGGCGTTTTGTAGCCGCTTCCCGCGCTGCCTTCGTCTCCGCTTGCCGACGTCGACGTGCCTATGCAGCTTCGCGAGCCCTCGCAGTCTCCGGGTACGCTTGTCTGCTCTGGCTGGCCGCTGCAGTCTCGCGTGCCCGCTGCTCTGGATCCGTTTTTCAGCGTTGCAGGGCTGCAGCGGCTGTGCGAGCTCTCAGCTGTGCGTGCAGTTTTGCCGCCTTGTCTCCATTTTCTTTGCTGTCGAAGAGAGAGAAAGATCGCGCGCCACAGTGCCGCCAGCGGGCGCTCTAAGTGTTATGTCAGGCCGACGGGGGGACAAGGCTTCACCCTTAAAACCTATGTCGTAGCATATTTTCTAGCGTGAGCTTGGAGGATCACTTTGCCAGTGCACTGCTTGTCACTTTCGTTCAGGTAAACTGTGGAGCGCGAGTCGTTTATTTCGTTGTTGTTTCATTGTAGTGCTTACTTAAAAAAAAAAAGATATTGAACTCATACCCTCAGATTCACCGGCAGCTGCCTAAAGTACATTTACAGGTTCCGATTTTCAGGGTCCGTGGTTGGAAGGCGGCTTATTTCAAGTGATTGCGTCATTCGGCAATTGACGAAACAAACCAAAGCATAATAACACATTGTTTATCAAAAAATGTTTAAGGGCACATTGCTCAGCTGTTGTGTAACTTCCACAATACCTTATTGCAGCAAAAGACAAATCACAGATCAGCTAAAACCGCGAGTAGCCGTGGCATGGTGGTTTTCTCTTGCGGATTTTCGCTCTCTTGATATCCCATGGTACAATTAAATGAAACGCAGCTGTGTCGTTTCAGAGCGCGCGTCAATGTCCCCCAACCTCTTGTTTTTTTATCTTTAGGTGATGCAAAACGTTTCCACCCTGCCGGCCGTGCTCACCCCCGACCAGGTGCTGGACTCCCTGCGCACAGCTCTTCTTCGCAAAGGGATCATCTGCAAGCAAAAAAGGTATGTGTGCATGATGGACTTCTCCCCTTTCGTTCTGTGGCTCCCAGAAGATGCACTTTACGGAACGCACCGGAAGCGGCTTGTGGTTTAAATTTCAACTAAACACTTCTTAGCTGCCTGTATCAACGTGCCGTACATATTTGGGAACTGTTAGCTTGAACTTACTTTAAACTTGCACTTCCTAGTGCTCTAGTAACTGCTGGCTGTTAAGCGTGCGCGGGCGTTATACCTGCTTTAATATAAATTATATTTACTTTTTGATCACGCGTATTCTATGTGCACGTCGTTAATATGTATGCGCGCTTGTCTGTGAGAACATCATTTTACATGTTTCTCTTCGACGTCATCGAAATGCCCATTTTCAGGCAGCTGCTACCGGCGAATGTCATGTAGAGGCGTACAAAATTGTTACAGGGAAAATATGACTGCCGTTTTTTTTTTATTTGAAAGCGCGCAAGAAATATACGTTTGGTTACTCTTATGCTGTGCAGTAATACTGTTGAATAACTGTAATGACACATCCAAATCGGTTTATACAATTCAGCTTTTGTTCTTGCGTTAGTAAAGGTTAAAGGGGCACTAGAGAGTTCAACGATTTTTCGCGTATCACTTGAATACGATTTGAAAATCCCGAAGACACCATTGTTACCGTGATACGAGACTTGGTAGGTGAGAAAATGCGCAAAAAAAAAAAAACTGCGGGTGGAGACGCCACCTCGAGAATTCCGCACTAAACACCATGGCTGAAGATATTTTTAAGGCGTCCACTGGGTACTGCGTATAGCTTCTAATCGATAAAAAGGAAGTACACTGTCATCCATAGGTGCCATAGACTTAGTATACGAAGTTTCAGAAAATTTAATCGAGGCAATGTCGCGTAAATGCGAAAAATACGTGATGAAATTTTTGATACTTTAAGTGCGGAGATTTAGGCTCGAAATTTAAGAATAAACCTTCAACTTGAATTTTCTCCCCTAATAATGAACTTATAACACAGTGAAACTTATGACATTAGAGTTCTCATAGTGCAGCTCATCAATCTTAACGAAGCCACCGTCGCTCTTTAGTGTCCCTTTAAAATAATACAAAAGAATATACTGCGTGTGTATCGACAATCGTGGACACTCTTTGAATCCACACTCTTAAAAAAAAAAAAAGGTTGTAGTACTTGCTAACTATGGGGTAGTAATGGTTTGTCACATATGTCATCACCCTGGTAGTAAGTGCAATTAGTAACGGTGAGGGTGTTAACAGTTACTACCTTTTCCGTTAATAACAGCTTTAGTAACTGCTACTACCCTAGCCATTACTAAACATAGGTAGCTACTTTAGATGTGTTAAGAAAAAGAGAAGTAGTAACCGGTACTACTGTGCTCATTTTGCCACAATATTTCTCCATTGATAATACTAGTTAATGTCTGGTTACTTCACAGCTTCGGGTAATCTTGCGTGGTTTCTAATGAATGCGAAGAATACATAGCCATAACAAGTACCCTACTATACTAAGTAAGCGACTCGCGTAGTATATATAGCCCCTACTTTGAAGATGCATGTCTGGTACAAGGGAGCACTTGTGTTTCAGGATGAATTAAAAAAAAAAATGCGAGCTTAGAGAACTATACCATACTACCTGGTTATGTGTGTTTGTGGTCGTAGCACAAGACTTTTAATCAGCCGTATGTATAAATAAATATCATGTCATATCTCTTTATTATGAAGGTGCCACAAGAAAGCCTTCAACAGGGTAACCCAGGTATCTTTAGGCAGAGTTTAAAAATACGCCGACACCCGAAATTGCGACGCGAGCGAATGCATGTTGTTGACCATTGCCTGTAGTTAGACTATTTTTTGTGTTCTAAAATATTGTTTAATTTGATATGTTTAATTAACTAACTGTTGAAGGAACGAAGATGGATAAAAAAAATTAAATGAGAAAATTGTAGAGTGGTTTGCAAAACACCCGGTTAGAGAGTTTCGAACTTTATATCTGCTAATAAGTAGTGTGGTTCTGCTTACTAGAAATGCCCGCGAAATACAAAAGAATACCACGTGACAAACTCGCTTGCGCGCCAGTGCGCGCGATGATTCTAGTGCTCCATAACGTTCCGCGTACGAACGACCATAGAATTCGCCCGATTGTGCTGTCTCGACAGGGCCGCAACCGCAACGATGGTGGTGCCTTCGCGATGAACACGTTTTGCTATCGACCACAAAAGCGATAACTGCTGTGACTGCTTCGCTGTCAACAACCGGTGTGAGGGTAGCGTATCGTTCGTACGCGGAACGTTAGGGAGCACCAAAATCACGGCCCGCGTAGGCGCGCCAGGGGGTTTGTCACGTGGTATTTTTTTTTTTGTATTTCGCGTGCATTTGTAATTGTCAGAAAATCACTAAGAATTAAAAGAGTATCAAGTGTGAAAATGTTCTATCGGACGTTCTGCTAACTGATCTACAACTTCATCACTGAAATTTTTTTATCCATCTTCGTTCCTTCAAAAGTTATTCACACATATTTAATTCAACAATATTTTAGCACACGAAGAATACCCTAACTTCAGGCAACATTCAGCAACATGCATTTGGTCGCGTCGCAATTGCGTGTGTGAGAATATTTTTAAACTCTGGCTAAAAGTTGGCTGGGGCACACTGTATACAGCGCCAGAAACAAAGTACCGAAGTCATTAGCATAGTCTCAGTGAAATTGAATGCTTCACAGCTCTAATATATCGGCGATTAGAAGGTAATAATAGTTTCTGGGGTTTGATGTGCCAAAATCGTGATATTATCAAGATACGCGGCGTAATGAGGGACTCCGGATTAATTTTGACCATCTGGTCAGTTTTGATCCGCCTGTCATGTCAGTTTGTTCTAATTTACGTTGTTGCACTTGTCAATGCAACGCGCGCAACACTTGCTTATGGTCTATTAACTTGTACTTCTCTGTTTTGAGAATAGGAGAATGAGACATAACTCGGTTATGTCTCATTATCTACGGATAAAGTTATCTACGGATAAAAAATGTTTTTTTTTTATCCGTAGATAACTAATGCGTCATTTTTTTCGTTTAAAGATGACTTGTCGAGACGATTTCTATCATAACTTAAAAGAATAGGTATTACCCACTATTTTAGAATAGAGGTTCATGGCCGGGTAGCAATAATGTAGGAACGTGGTGCAGGAAAGTCAGTAACGCCTTCAGTCACTATCTGTTTAATTCCGGTTACTGTTTACTAGCATAGGTAGTTAGCTGCAGTGATCTAATGGCTTAGGTACTCGGCTGCTGACGCGCAGGTCGCGGGATCGAATCCCGGCTACGGCGGCTACATTTTCGATGGAGTCTAAAGTGCTGTAGGCCCGTGTGCTCAGCTTTGGGTGCACGCACGTTAAAGAACCCCAGGTGGTCGAAATTTCCGGAGCCTTCCACTACGGCGTCTCTCATAATCATATTGTGGTTTCGGGATGGTAAACCCCACATATTAATCTACGTAGGTAGCAAACAGGTATCAAGAAGTTAGTAATGGTTGCAGCTCGTAACTGTTTACTAACGGAGGTAGTAAACAGGTTGCAAAAGGTTAGTAATGGTACAAGAAAGGTAGGAAGCGTTGTAGCTTTACTTCCTATTTTCTTGCAGTCACTATCTTTTCACTACTTTTTTAAAAGATTGTAGTGCGTTGTTGGTGTAAAAAAAAAGCGTTAAATACACTTAAACTTAGCTCTGAACTGTGACGGTTACCGTTTAATCACGGCTTGTCACTGTAGGATTATGTTAAAGGCATGTGCATGTCATGTCGAAACCCGCGTGTTCCTCGCGCCCGTGGGGGATCGATTCGTTTTGTTTTATTATAGAGCTTAAAGGGACCGACTACTGTGCAGAACATGAAATTAAATGACTCCACTGATGGAAAGATTGTCCGTCGCATTGGCTGCCACCACCATGTCTTTTTTTTTTTCGTTAGAGATGGATTCATATATTAATTCTTCTTTGAAAGTCGCGATAAATGACTTGTAGGGCCTCTGGTGGCAAAAGCCATGAACGAACCGATGTACCTTGCCACGGGACCGTCGATTTTTGCGCGTGGTCGACGACTTTTTTGTTAGTATGGAAGTATTGCTCGTTCCTTTATGTGATAAGATGTCACTCCATAAAAGTGCACATATAGATCTATGTTAGTAGTATGCACAAAGTGGTGCTGTCTTCGCGATCCCATACTCGTAAGCTCGTCTTGAGCAACTGTTCAGCGTGCTCGCGTGCCACCGTGCACGCAGTTTCCAGGTCGCTAAGATTTTGGAGTGACATAGTTTCGCTACCTTTACCTCGTCTCAGAAATGACGCGCACTTCTACTCGGCGTGGCCGTACATATACGTAAGGACATTTTCAACGACATGGCCTGGCTCGTGTATATATAGAGTGAGTAACGACGCCGGTACAAGCCACCCATGACCCAGCGAAGGCATCCTTGGGCGTATAGGCGCACACAACACGGTAAAAATACAGGGAAACTGTATAATGCCTCATCGTCTCATTGCAACAGCTTATTTTCAAAAAATAGTTCAAAAGCTCAAGGTGGTTAAGCACAAGGAACTCCGGCGAAAGCAGAACGACTAGATAAGGGCTGGCGGCTGTTTCGACTCTTTCAGATTTAAATATACTTCTTGTAAATTGAGTACATGCTTCTTGGAATAATTACTGCAGCTACAAACACAGCGAAGGGTGAGCTTTCTGTCGCGCTGAAAAAAAAAAGGGAGGGGGAGGGGGTTGAAAAAGAAAAACGGTTGTCGGTCCCTTCAACTCTCCAACACCTGATATCGTGCATTTTCCGACTCGCGGTGTGCCTTTCTTGGGAGTATGTAGCGGGAATTTAACCGTTCACTGGGTCTGAGCACCGATGTGGGTCACAATGCATTCTTCTGTCGTCGCAATCCGCGATTAAGCAACACTATGCCCTGGCGTAAAAATGGTGGCTCCCGGGAAGCTCAGATCGACATGTATGCCCACTTA